ACTACTCTCATCACCACTGTGTCTCTTTGTGACAACACCCCACCTTAGTTAATTAAGCGATAACCAAATGATGACTTACTGCTTTAAAAAGAACTGTAAGGGGGGGAGGGGCATGGGGGAGGGAAGGCAGGGACTTGCCCGTGGCTACTTCCACCCTAAGAAGAACGTGGAAGATCTCTGCAGAGAATGGCCCCAGTGGGGAAATAAAGCCTTTAGGCAGCTGGATTTGTCTGGGAATTCCTCCTTCTCCCAACCCAGCACCAAGCTCACCTCTAGTGATAATCTCTTAGGGATCACTAAACAAAACAGTTTCTTTTCATCACTTTGTCCATCACCTGTTATCAGTTCCCAGCCCTGTTCTTTCTCTCCCTTTTTACGACCAATCAGCTTAGCTCCAAAGCCCCAGCGTATCACAGGAATCTTACTGTACACTTTGGTTTTGAACTATTTTAATCGGCTTCAAGTTACTACTTCACTGTAGTACTTACTACCCCCTTAATGATGGTCTGCTCAGATCCCCTAAAGAGGGATCACAAGCCAAGCATCGGTCGGGCGTGGTGGTGCGGTCTACAGTCCCAGTATTCCGGGGGTTGAGACAAGGGTGAGTTCAAGGCTGGCCTGTCCCCTCTAAAAAAGAAGAATAAGAAGCTAATCACCAGAAAGAAGGAGGCTAGAAGCCTGCTAACCCCTGGTTACCATTTAGAAACTGTTGGCCCAAAACAAGGCTCAGGGTTGGGACCAGGGGAGAGCTTCTTCCCACAGACAGCAAGATGGTCTGATTTGTCTCCCTACCAGCCACCAAGAAATGAACTGCCAGTAATAGATTTTACTTTACTCCTGGGACAGGGCAGGAAATGATTTCCCCTTCTCTGAGCCAGAAAGACGACCCGACAAGGGAAACCACTCTTGTGCAAGTGGCCACCTGCCCTGAAGGGCCCCTTCCCTCCTCCGCTGGGCCCCGCACATCTGTGCTCCCTCCCCAGCGCCCTTGCTTCCTCCACTGGCGGACCTGTCCTTGGAAAGAACAATTGTGATCACAGCTGAACGGTGGAGCCTCTTAAGCCCAGCCACATGTCCCGGATACATTCTCCAGCCTTGTCAGCTGTCGGGATCTGCAGGGTGGGCCTAGATCCAAGCGCCAAGAATACCCCACCTCTTACATCATGTTGTGCCCCACGCCTCCTGTGCCTTTGGTTACAGATGCCCTTAAAACTAGGCCCTCCTCTGAGGAATTCTTAGAAATCCAGTAATAGTGAGGCAGGCTCCAGTCCTGACCACTCACTAGCAGCTCCCCTGGCTCCTAAACCCTTGGAAGGAGTCTAGAAAATTACGTCTCTACTAAGGCCTGTGATTTAGCAGGTTTGCTGTGCCCTGGCCCTAGTTTGATCTAAAGGCACTAGTGCAGCCTCCGGTATGTTCTTCATCACTTTCTTACTCTGCCTCTTTAGAAGAGCAAAATATATCCCCATGAGTCACCTCCTTCCTGAGATGGCCATGAGATGGAATCTTTGCCACTCTTTGCTATTCCTCTTCCTTAAAAAACCTGTTGTGACTGGGTGTGGTGGCGCACACCTGCAATCCCAGCACTTGGGAGGCTGAGGCAGGAGGATCACTGTGAGTTCGAGACCAGCCTGAGCTACACAGTGAGTTCCCGGTCGGTCTCAACTACATAGTGAGACCCTGTCCCAAAAAACAAACAAACAAACAAAAAAACCCAAAAACCTGTTGTGTTTACACCTCAAAGCCCAGCCTTTCAACTTTATCCTCAAATCCAAAGAGGAAAGCAAGAACTGCCTGTTGCCCCCCCCCACACTTGTGATCACAAGAGAACTTTCACTTCATGGGTTCCAGTTATCAGTGTTCAGGACTCAATTGAATAATGCTGTGACTCTGAATACCAGAACTTCTTTTCAGAAAAAAAGAGGGAGGGCTAAGCTGGGAGTGGTAGCTCATGCCTGTTAACCCTAGGAACTCAAAAGGCTGAGGCAGGAGAATCCCTGAGAATTCAAGGTATGCGTGAGCTACATAGTGAGTTCAAAGCTACCACTGTGAGACCCTGTCTCAAAAAAAGAAGGAAATGAGAGAGAGCCCTTTCCTAGGCCTGATCTAACAAGATGACTCTATTTCAGAAAAATGCGGTGGGAATGTGTATGTATTTGCAAACAGATGGGCTGAAGATGCTACCCTAAGGTACCTCTAGCATAAGAGAATGGAGAAGTCATGATCCAAAAGTATTAAATCCCAGGGTAACACTCCCCCCCCACCTTCTTTTTTTGGGGGGGGTACCGGGGATTGAACTTGGGACCTTGCATTTGTGAGGCAGGAGGTGGAAACACTAAGGTAAATCCCCGGCCCTGTTTGTTTTTTTTTATTTTTTCCTTTCTTTTTTTTGAGACAGGATCTCGCTGTGCAGTTCAGGCTGGCCTTGACCTCACTACGTAGCCCAGGCTGGCCTCAAACTCAAGGTGATTCTCCTGCCTCAGCCTCCCAAGTGCTAGGGTTACAGGTGTATACCATTATGCCTGGCTCTACCTTAATTTTTAAATCATTGCCTTCATTTGTTATCTAAGAAAGTCAGCCAAACTTCTGGACACATTTAATGTGAGGTTTACAAGGTTGGGGGATAAGAGTTATGAACTGGGCAGAAAGTGAATTTCCAAAAAGCCCCCTATCTTTCCACCAATTCTAGACAGATGCAGACAAAAATGACACCGGGGAGTTCCAAATGCCCACCAGTGCCCGGCCTCTGACATCCCTTAACCCGGAATCAATCCATTCTATTTTTGTCTCTGTCCACCGGACCCAACCAAAGCTCTGGTGGGAGGCTGCCGTTGCAGAGGATAATCTAGGAAAAGGATGGTGGAGATGAGGAGGAGCTAGGGCTGCCAAGCATTTACACTCCTCAAGAAGGGGAATGACTCCTGAGCTTGGAAACCAGCAGGCATCTTTAAGGTCTTCCCTCAGACATCTGCTACCAAGGCGCCCCCACCCCACCTCCACAGTGGCCACACAGGCCAACTGGTCAGCATGTCTGCTGATCACCAGGTTAGGATTCACCCAGCCAGCCAGCACAGGACCCTCCCAAGGGATGGGAAACAGCAGAAATCTGATTTCATAATGGACATCTATACAACTGCTTTCTTACCCTTGGGGGGGAGGGTGGGGATAAGGGGAGAGGGGGAGAGAGAGAGAGCCCAACTATAGCCCTTCCTTTCCTGGACTGCCCCACACTTGCGCTACATGAAAAAAAAAATGTTTATGCTCCATTTGTGTGAAGATCGGGAGAACTCTAAACATTGTGAAATCCACCGGTGCACTATTGGGTAGGGCCTAAGCCAGATGGAGCTTATTAAGAGATTGATAAACCCCTATTTCCCAACTGCTCTGGACCTTTTACCTTCCAGCTTTGTATCCCTGAGGGGCCTGTCAAGAAGGGTAGAGCCTTGGTCAGCTAACCAGACAGCAGTTCACCAGCTCCCGCCCGTCCACAGGTTCTCTGGCCTCCAATGTGTCTGGGTTCTCCCTAAATTGGAAAGTATCAGGCCACTGATTTGGAGACAGGAAAAAGGGGCTTGCCACTTGGTCTAGGCACCCCACTGATTCCACACCTTTCCTTACAGCATAAGCCTTGATGGGAGGGTTCCCCGGAGTCTCGCTGCGCCATAAGGAGGCCTCCTGCCCTCAGCCAGACTGGCAATATGGATGCCTATCCAGCAGCTGGTGAGAGGAAGCTAGCAGCTCTCTCCTCTGTTCACCATACCCTCCAGACCCTTTGGCCTCTCGCTCCATCCCTCAGCCCCTCAAGCCATGTAACCATTTTCCGCCTCTTGGCTCCTCTGCCCACAACCCCCAGCCCCGAATCAAAGAAAATTGAGAAACTGTCTTCTTGCACAAGAGCAGCTACTGTCTAAACGCTTTTTGATCGCCTGCATGGAGGGGGAACTGGGCACAGCCCTGGCCTCAGTGATGCAGCCAAGCTCCGGTTGCCCTGGCTAGCCAAATCCGCCCTTCACCCCCCTCACTGCCCCCGTGATCTTGTCGATTTAGAATTTTTCAGAATCGTACCGTCTCTATCCTCTCTTCTAGGTGATGTCAAGCCTGGTACCACCAAGTAGGGAAGGAGGAAAGTAGGAGTCTTATCTCTCCTACGCATGCAACCTCTTCCTCCGGCTCCCACACGCCCGGCGTTATGTAAACGCACCTTCAGCCCCCACCACAGCCCTAGCGACGCCCGGGGGCTCTGGGGCCTGGCACAGCACAGGGATAGGGAGGCACGGGGTGGCCGCGAGTCTCGGCCCTGCAGACCTGGGGAAGGAAAAGACAACTGCAAGGCAGCTGCACAGCATAAAACGCGGCAGCCGAGCAAAGGTCAGACGGCCTGGAACCGCCTCGCCAAAGAGCGGGAGCAGAAATGCCCAGTGCTGGGCCGGCCCCGCGCTGCCATCGAGGGGAAGCAGATGGGGAGGAAAGCCACCCAGTCCGTCCCTGCTCCAAAGGGGAAAGAAAAATCTACGTCGAGCACAGGCCGCTGCGGCGGGCCGGTAAGACCTACGGGAGAGCTTGCACCGTGGGCACGCAACCCGGGGGTGGGCGAGCCGCCTAAGGCCAGGCTACCCCCCCAGACCCAAACAGTGGCTTCTGAGCAAGCCCACAGACAACCGTTCCAGCGTCGGAGGCGAGGGGTGGCCGGAGGAAAGAGGCCAGGCCAGAGGCAAAACTCCGAAGACACGCACGGGGCTTCCCGAGTCGCAGAGGGCGGGGAAGTCAGGCTTGGCAATGCCCGGGGGTCGGAAACAGCGGTGCCAGGCTGTGAACACCCCAGCGCCGTGCCGGCCGGGACGAGGGCGTTAGGGAGCTGCGGCGGACCGCAGCGACTAAGGGAGGCGCAGGCAGAGCGAAGGAACACTGAGGCGCGGTTAGAAATAGCAAACCATTTGCCCCAGCCCGAAGGGGAGTAGCGTCGCGGCAGTTTCGGATCTCCAAACCGGCCACGGACTTACTTTGAGGAGCTGCAGAGTCACAAGCATTGCTCCAAGTCTGTGTAAATCCCTGAAGCCGAGCGGTTAAGCCGCTGCTGTACTCGTAGACGCCAGCCGGAGAAACCCGCAAGGCTCCCAGCGACCCGCAGCGCCAGCTCTGCGCTGTCAGCTCCGCTCGCTGCCTCAAAGGCTGTGTTGCAACCACTGCCTGGGAAAATGGCTTTTTTATGAATGGGAGGGAAGGGAGATCCAGTGCGCACGCGCGCCGTCCGCGATTCTATGAATGGGTGGGCATAAGAGACCCCGCGTGCGCATGCGCTGCGCTCCTTTTTTTATGAATGGGGGGCCGGAAAAGAATTTAACCCGTGATTGCTGGGCCTAGCTCTCGCTCCTCAAGGGGCCGCAGTTCTTTTACAAAGAGGGGTGGAGGTTGTTGTTGCTTTTTTTTCTGAATGAATGGAGGGCGGCGGCGACTGCAGCAGCTGGCTCAGCTGCGTGGGCTGTACCCCCTCCCAGCCTACGAGAGGAGGTAAAGGCCACCTTTACGCCGCTGCCGGCCTGGGCCGGAACCGTCAGTGTCGTTGGGGGGCGCCGGCCTTTGTGGCCTTCGGATCCAGGGCCGAGACCAGGGTGGGGGAGGACACACCTAGACCTGGTTATCTCTTCCCGCTGCAGGCAGTCGAGGGAGTGGGGAGGTGGTAGGACCCCTGTTGGTGACCTTCTCTTTGGGCAGGTCAGTGGCGCCTCGGGACGTTGGAGGGAGGGATCTTGAAGCGGCATTTACCAAAAACTAAGAAAATGTCCAACGTCCATATCGAAGAAGGCTGGAGTGGAGGTTGCGGGGCTAGTGATTTGGTTCCTGAAGCTGAGTCGTGAGGGCGGACCACCCCTCCCCCACCCCATCTCTTGGGTGTGGACAGTGACTGGACCGAGGCCTCTTCCGGCTCCAGTACCCCCCGGGGCGATTCTGTAAACTCAGCTAGAGGCCAGGCGTTCGCCTGAAGAGCCCCTCTGCCCCCGCCCCAGAATAATTGTGTGCAGTGCTGGGAGATTCCGCCTGCTCTGCTTCCCCGGCGAGGTGTCCCGCTGTGCTCACGTTCCTATCCCAGCCCTCACAGGACTCTGGCCCAAGGAAACGCCGTCCACCAAAGGCCCACGACCCTTTGCTGTCGTAGGCACTCTTCACTAGCACCCACTTCTTCCTCGCCTCTCTTCAGCTTCCCCCAAGGGAAGCGGGAGGCAGCGGAAAACTGGCCAGGTGGATGGGTGGAGCCGGCAGCGCAGGGGATGCTGCCGAGGTGGCGGCGGGATTAAATAACAGGGTTTCTCAGCCGCAGAGGAAATGGAAATGGCCGGGGATCCTTTCTTTCTTTGCTGTTAATGACGGGGGTTGGGGGCGAGGGGGTGGAGCTAGGCTAGTGAAAAGAACCCCCCACCCCCACCCCGGCTTTTAGGTCTGACTCCTGGAAGGCTGCAGGCTCTCGGAGCAGGCCCTGCTCCGCCCTAGAACAGAGGACGCTGTAGCCTCCGGAGAGACTGGGGTAGGGGGTGGCTTTGATGTAAGGATAAAAGCTGGGCTGAGTCCGAATCCTCTCTAAGGTGTGTCTTTAGGGCTTTCCGGAGAGGCAGTGAGGCTATCTTTTTCTTCCTACGCCACCACAGGACTGTGCTTTGCCGTTAGAAGAACCAGAAAGGCTCCCAGCCTACGATTGAGGTCTGGCCTGGGGTTGGGCCTCCAACGACAGGCAGCCCAGATCAGAACCCAAGGTCAACGTGTCCTAGTCAAAAAATGCCTTCTCACCACACAAGACTCACCTCTCCCGGTAGTCACATACCCAGATCCTGGGAGCCAAAGCAGACTAGAGGACTTCTGCCTCTCTTCCCATCAAAAGGCAGGAGAGAAACTCTTTATCAAAACAATGGAAAATTTTACAGCTGTTTAGGACTTCCCTTTAGGGATATTGTAGAAATTGAAGCTAGGGGTCTTGAATCTGATGAATGGAAATCCTAGTAAATTGTGTTGCTGATTTTCTAGATCTTTACAACTAGGTTCTCTACTGCTCCCAGCCCTTCTCAGCTTGGCAAACCTAAAATACAGTTCTGTTTCTTGTGTGTCATTAAAGCAGCTGAACAACCGTAGTTTTTCCAGCCCATGCTCACCCATATTGCTTGCTCAGAAAGTGAGAATGAATAAATCATTTTTTTAAAACGATGGAGGATGGACAGTGTCCTATTTCCTTGATTACAGGAATCAGCCAGGAAACAAGTCTTTTCTCGGTGGTCTTTTTCTCAGCTTTCCTGAAAGAGGAGTTAAGATCCCAACCCAAAGTGGGGAGAGCAGGGTCTCTCAGTCCCCAGCTGGGAGGGTTTTAAACACAGTGTAATCCGAGTGCCTGTGAGGGCACCAGAGGCCATTTTCTTGTTCTGCTTGGAACGTAAACCTAGATGTGGTTTAGGGCAGCAGTTGTGAGAAATGAATTCATACTGTGCTGTGGTAACTCTAGGAATTCATGGTGAGGGACAGGTAGTCTACCCTGTGCATGTGAAACTCAGTCTTTTTTAGGAGATAGACTACAATCTGAGGCTAGAAGTGAGCAGGGGGAAAAAAAATCAATTGAAGAGCAAGGGGACCAGGGAGATGGGCGGAGAAAGATTTTGACTTGGACATTGGACAGTGTTATTGTGAGTTCAGACTGAAGACTGAAATGTGAGCCCAAAGGAGACATCTCGGGCTGAAGGGACATCTCAGTGTTTCAGGCCCTGGCAGTATGGGTGGTGGCCCCGCCTTAGTGGGAAAAAGCCTATCAAATGGGGCATTGGGGTGGGGACGGAAGATCTCTTTCTTTGTTGTTGGGCAAAGGTTGGAAAGCAAGGTTGAAAACTTGGTGAGTTTGGGTACATTTCTGAAGGGTTTTAAGTGGGATGCAACACACTGTGGTTTGTGTTTAAACCTTTGCAGCAACTGCGCAGCCAGTGGGAGCAGTGGGAGGGGCCAGAATGAAATGATGGGAGAGTTGGAGAAGCTCCCTAAGGTGGCAAGCGAGGTGTTCATTTTTGTGGATTGTAGCTAGTAGAGTGAAGCTGCATTTTGGTTTTGTGTTCTTATTTTCTTCTACTGCAGCTGATGTTAATTCCAAAGGTACTCAATGTCTTGGAGTAGGTACTAAGTAAACTTTTCTGCCAGAGGCAAATCCTAATAACCTTGCATTCCTGCTGGGGGACAGCCTTGTCATCCAACCGGGTGCAAACTTTGCCTTCACCTTTACCAAGTCGTGGTCAGGGGAGCAGCGTGGGTTCAGTTCTGGGATTTGTTCTTTTATTAAGCTGGTTTTGCAGCCGCCAGAACCTGGGGGAGGGGTTAGTGAGAGTGAGGAGGGGTAAAAATTAAAATTCAATGACAGATATTTGTGGAGCACTTCCTGTTGCCAGTCCAGTGTTTCGCATTTCTGCAAATGTAATGCTGCTTTAAAAGCTGTGCCCTGGTGTCCTGGGGGGCCTAGGAGTGTACTTTGTAGTAGAAGACTTCATTCATGCTGAAGGCTCTGTATTCTGAGCCCTAGCACTACAAAACAAAAAACAGCCAAAGTTGTGCATGCCTGTCATTCCAACACTCTGGGAGGCTGAGACAGGAGGATCTTCACTTCAACCCGGCCTGGGCAATTTAGTGCGTTTTCCAGGTCAGTCTCAGCTACATAGTGAGACCCTGTCTCAAAAAACAAAAACAAAAACAAAAAAACCAAACAGAAAAAACCCCAAAAAACTGGATGTGGTATTGCACACCTGTGATCTCAGCAGAAGGATTATTGGGAGTTCAAGGCCTGAACTGCTTAGTGAGAATCTGTCTTAAAAAGAAAAAACAAAAGACAAAATATTTTTTGTTTTGTTTTGTTTTTTGAGACAGGGTCTCACTATGTAGTTGAGACTGACCTGGAACTCACTATGTAGCTCAGGCTGGTCTCGAACTCACAGTGATCCTCCTGCCTCAGGCCTCAGCCCAAGGATTACAGGTGTACACCACCACACCTGGCTGATGTAGTTGAGACTGACCTGGAACTCACTATGTAGCTCAGGCTGGTCTCGAACTCACAGTGATCCTCCTGCCTCAGCCTCCCGAGTGCTGGGATTACAGGCATGCGCCACGATGTCCGGCCGACAAGAACAAAAATTTAAAAAGGGCATGTAACTCAGTATGAAAGCCGTGCGTTCACTCCCCACTAACACATACACACACACACACACACACACACACACACACACAACGGTGTTCTGGTCTTATCATCCATTATTCCTCTTTTTCAGATAAGAAATTCAAAGTTCCATTTCCGTTATGTATTCCACAAAAAAGTATTATGCACTTCCTAGGTACCAGGCACAGTGCCAAGTATGTCCAGTAATAAAAGGAATAAGGTATTTTCCCCCCATGGAGCTTGCAGTCAGTGGTGATGCCAGCGGAGGAGAGGGAATTAGAGAAGTGAGGGCTGGATGCACTTGCCCGCTCTACTTAGCATCAACACATTCATACATTTCTATGTTCAGTGACCATTTCTCCACCTTCCTCAAGTACAAAGCAATGGAAACAAACCCCCCACTGACCTGGATTTTCCCCCACCTTCATAGAAAATCTAGAACTGCTACTGTTTATCGTCAGGTATGAGAGATAGACATTAAACAAATAGTTGATCAAAGGATGATTTAATTACAGTTAACTTCAGTAGTACCTGCAGGGTGAAAAGGAGGGACACGGCCTGGGGCTTGGAAAGTTTCCCTGGAGCTCAGAGCTGCAGCCTAGATTTACCCAAGCCCAGTTTACTTCCGAGGTGGAAGTTTTAGAAGCAGGACACAGCCTCAGGGAGCACTACAGAGACTGGTAAGGCCCTCCTGATTCCAGTAAAGGAGGGGTGTCAAAACCAGGTGTTAAAGCTCTGGTCCACGCTCCCTCTGTAGCTTTGTGGTTCAATGTGTTCAGCTGTTTCAGCTTCAAGGACTGCAGAGCTTGAAACACTGGTCTGCAGATGCTGGCCGTGGCTGCAGTGTTAATGCTACCTTCCCAATGTCCAGAGAAAAGTTACTTAAACTATGTGCCTCAGTTTCACCATCTATAATACCAAGGCCTGAGTGAAGCTTGACCAGGGTCATGCACATACGGCCCTTAGATAGAAATACTGCCTGGTATATCATCCAGGGACGTGGCTAGCACTAGATGATTGATTATTCAATATATCCAGTTGTTATGAGGCAAAGAATGAGAATTTTTAAGAGGAGCCTATTTATATGTGCATGTCAAAAACTCAGAGAAATGCAGCATAAAATACAAAAACAGGCTGTGAGGTAGAGCCCGGTGGTAGAGTCCTTGCTTAGCATGTGTGAGATACTGGGCTAAACCTCTGACACCACACACACACACACACACACACACACACACACACACATACACACATGGAAATGAAATACACAAAGTTCTCTAAATTAATTTTAAAAATTAAAGCAAGTATACTGCAGCCGTCATTGCTAATATAGTACAATTTTTGC